GTGCTAGAAAGTATTTATTGCTAGAACCTAAGTCTGTCATTTGTCTCTGCATTGAATATTGTTGCCACATCTTGTCTAGTGTTTCTGCTATACATTTAGAGATTATTGATAAAATCTAAAGGAGAATCTGCAATGTTATCTGTCCTGACATCTCAACTACAGTCACTTTCTCACTTCTATAACATAGCTTCCCTGTGTCTTTTCTATAAATACTTTCATGGTATTTGTTCTGATCAGCTTTCCTCTTTGGTACCTTGACTTTATGAATTTAACCCCTTGACCCCTGACCACTACTTTACTGGTGATAGAGAAAAATGATGTAATGCCTAGCCACCGATTTGAACAGTGGTAGAGAAAAATGACGTAATGCCTAGCCAATGGTTTGAACAGTGGTAGACACTTGTAACTATTTTTATATCTACTGTGAAATATTACATACCAATTACTTGTGAATTTTGACTCGGGAGCTCAGGCAGAAGGGTTAAAATTGTTCAGGAGTACAGGGCTCAAAGGATTAAGTGCAGTACTAGATTAGCAACTAGGTCTCATCATTTTACAGTTGAATTTGCTATATGCAACTGTAAGTTCTATGCTAACAGTTTCTTCTCTTGCACTTTTGGATTGTAAAACTCTTTTGACTTCTTGCTTTACAGTCAACTTTGATCTTTAAAAATTTAAATAGTTATCTTCAGTTTCCTTAATTCATATTCTTTTGTTCTCTCTCCTTAATGTTTTTCTTATATACTTTCATATTTAGTAACCTATCTTAGTTGCTTTATTGCTTCGTTTGGGGTGAAATGATTAAAAAAAATTGTTTTCTGGTCAGCTCTTTTTTTCTTGACTGTGATGTGGAATTATTGTTATTTAACTGGTAAGTCATTTGTTCTTTGTTGCCAACACTCGTCATTTCTTGACTGTTTTTTTCCTCTTCAGTTTTTTGTTTTTTTAACTAAGAGTCTGAAATCTTCAAAGCATTTTGATGTACAGAAAAATGTGTAAAATTTACTTTGGTATAAGTAAAACCTGAACAGCTTTGACCTTTTAGTGAGAGAAATATCTTTTTGTATATTTGAATATGCTGGAATTGAGTCAGAACAGAGATTTATATAGAAAAATAAGAATCAATACAAATACTGTTTGCATTTTATGGCTTCATTTCTAAAAATATTGAGGGTTAAAAAATATTTGGAGTTAATGCTTCATTGCTTGTACTTTGTTTTTCTTTATCATTTAGCAATTGTCATTTTTAAAATTGTCCTTCTTAATGATGACTTTTCTTTTTCAGTGGTAAATATTTTTAGCTTAAACATGGTGGCCTTTTTCTCTTTTAATTATTTCTGTATTCTTATCTAGGGTATTAAATATTTTATAGCATGACATGCTGGTTGTCGATATTTATATTACAAAGATTTCTGGTTTTTCAAGTATTAGAGTTTGTGTTTGTTAGTAATGCCTCTTGTTTATGCTTTTACTGAACTTTGTTCTTTTTCCCTTAGATTAATGGTAGGAAGATGGGAAAAGACAAATATTGCTTGTACCCCCCCCCCCACCTCACTGATCCCTGTTATGCAACACACATGTACAAACTGGTATATAACAGACACTGATAATCTGGCATAGAATATTTTAAAAACCCTAATCAACTTATGATTAACCTTTACCATGCTGCAGGCGAATTATCTCCCTTTGCTACTCTAGGTGCATTCTGTTACCTTGAGATAGTTGCTATAAATAAACACTTGTCAACTGTTATTTCTGGCATTTTAAGCTGGAAATCTCCTCCTACTGCTTTGGAACAAGGTTAAACTTCCTTTTTCCACTGTCATTTTGAATTCTTCCAGACTCTACACATGGTGTAGCACTGATTAAACCCACATTAATTTTTTTCATGATTTTTTGTAAACAAAAATTGTGGCATCGATATCCAACAAAGCCTTTATTGAAGAGTTTCCTCTTTGATTAGGACTCCAATGATGATTTTGAAGGCTTTATTCAAGTGGATATTGATGGTGAAGTGGTTGAAGATGATAAGCATGCTAGTGACTGGAGGAAAATGATGACCACTAGCAGATACTATCATTGATGCCTGACTAATTTTATGGAAGCTACTGGCAACCATCGATATACCTGATAGCCTTTCTGAAGATGAATTATTTTGTCTATTTATAAACAATGAAATAACTTTATTCATCAATGAGACATAAATATGAGTGAGGTGAAAGAAGAAGCAAACAAATGTTAGTGTCTTCGTGTATGTAAACATTAGGAAACATGTCACTTTTTGACAATGAAAACCTTGTTAGCGATTTTGCTTCTCCTTGCATACCCAGAACTCCACAAGGAGTATGTTGAATTATGTATTTTTTAAGTGTATTTGTTTTTTTATTTCACATTTCAATTTTTCTTGTTTTCAACTTGAAAACATGCATGCAAAACGTAATGCATTCATTCTTTTATTAGTTTACAAAAATTAAAATATATAAGCACACAATACAATGAAAGTTATAACAATTTTAAAACAGTAGGTGTTCATGTTTTTGCACCCTCAAAAAAAAGTATGCAGTGGCAGGGCAGACAATTCTAGAAAGAAATTAGCATGGTAAAGGTTAATCAATACTTGTCTCTCTCTCTCTGTCTGTCTCTCTCTGTCTCTGTCTCTCTCTGTCTCTGTCTCTCTGTCTCTCTCTGTCTCTCTCTCTCTCTCTCTCTCTCTCTCTCTCTCTCTCTGTCTCTCTCTCTCTCTCTCTCTCTCTCTCTCTCTCTCTCTGTCTCTCTCTCTCTCTCTCTCTCTCTCTCTCTCTCTCTCTCTCTCTGTCTCTCTCTCTCTCTCTCTCTCTGTCTCTCTCTCTCTCTCTGTCTCTCTCTGTCTGCCTGTTTCTCTCTCTCTGCTCTCTCTTCTGTTTTCTCTCTCTGCCTGTTTCTCTCTCTCTGCCTGTTTCTCTCTCTCTGCCTGTTTCTCTCTCTCTCTCTGCCTGTTTCTCTCTCTCTCTCTGCCTGTTTCTCTCTCTCTGCCTGCCTCTCTCTCTCTCTCTCTCTCTGCCTGCCTCTCTCTCTCTCTCTCTCTGCCTGCCTCTCTCTCTCTCTCTCTCTGCCTGCCTCTCTCTCTCTCTCTGCCTGTTCTCTCTCTCTCTCTCTCCTGCCTGTCTCTCTCTCTCTGCCTGTCTCTCTCTCTCTCTCTCTCTCTCTCTCTCTGCCTCTGTTCTCTCTCTCTCCTCTCTCTCTCTCTGCCTCTCTCTATCTCTCTCTCTATCTCTCTGCCTCTCTTCTATCTCTCTATCTCTCTCTCTCTCTCTATCTGTCTCTCTCTCTTCTCTCTCTCTATCTCTCTCTATCTCTCTCTCCCCTCTCCCCATCTCTCTCTCTCTCCCCCTATCTCTCTCTCTCTCTCTCCATCCCTCTCTCTCTCTCTCCTCTCCATCTCTCTCTATCTATCTATCTCTATCTATCTATCTCTATCTATCTATCTCTATCTATCTATCTCTATCTATCTATCTCTATCTATCTATCTCTATCTATCTATCTATCTCTATCTATCTATCTCTATCTATCTATCTATCTCTATCTATCTATCTCTATCTATCTATCTCTATCTCTATCTATCTCTCTATCTATCTATCTCTATCTATCTATCTCTATCTCTGCCTGTCTCTCTCTATCTCTGCCTGTCTCTCTCTATCTCTGCCTGTCTCTCTCTATCTCTGCCTGTCTCTCTCTATCTCTGCCTGTCTCTCTCTATCTCTGCCTGTCTCTCTGTCTCTCTGCCTGTCTCTCTGTCTCTCTGCCTGTCTCTCTGTCTCTCTGCCTGTCTCTCTGTCTCTCTGCCTGTCTCTCTGTCTCTCTCTATCTCTGCCTGTCTCTCTCTGTATCTATCTCTGCCTGTCTCTCTCTGTATCTATCTCTGCCTGTCTCTCTCTGTATCTATCTCTGCCTGTCTCTCTCTATCTATCTCTGCCTGTCTCTCTCCATTTTTATGTTGTGAAGAAAATATGATAGTCACTTGTCTTGGTTCTCTTCATTGCCAAAGAGCAAAAATTATTTTCTGACAAATATTATTTGGCTCCAGTGCAGAAATTAAGATTGACTTACAACTTGTAAATAAGGTGATTCTTTTTTAATTGCATTTTGCACATGATTTTTACATTAATTAATAATTTTAGACTGTGTATAAAAATATCTCAAGTTTTCTTCTAAGCTACTCCCTCTTAATTTTACTTATCTCCTATCTTGATCGTTGTGACTTTTACCCAAATTCATTACCCTATCACATGATGGTATCTTAGAATAAAAAAAAAAAAAATTAATTGACTTTTGTAAGTTGGTGTAATTAGTTGCTAAAGTGGAAAAATTTCTACTTCAAGAAAAATGTTTTTATAATAAATCTTTTTTTTTTTTTTTTTTTTTTTTATCAACCCTTTACAGTTTATTGTATTTTTTTTTTTTTTTTTTTTTTTTTTTTTTGAGATAATAATAGTTTAGTGATACAAATCTTAGTAATTACCCTAGAGGAGAAGAGATGGGCTCATACCTAATCGGAATTTGAAAAACAAGAAATTATATGTGGATATAAAGTGGAAGATCAAACCTATATCACAATCAATATATAAACTGATCCCTCACTTTGTGACCACAATTGTTTCTACGCATTTATATTCTAGATAATGTAAATGAATGCAAAAGACATGCCTGTGTAGCAAATCAGTATTCCTTTGATTCATTCATTTTCTGTGGCCTATCTACCCTTTTTAGTTTATTTAAAGCCAGAAAATCTTTTTAGATTGTAAAAATTTTTATCTATTTTATTTTATTTTTATAAATAGATAATAATGATTTAGTGATACAAGTCTTATCAATTAATTCATAGCTAGTGGGAAAAGAGGCAGATTCATACCTTTTCCAAGAGTATGCATTAGTGGATATAATGAACCCAAGTGGAATTGGAACTTTGCTCTCCAATTAACAATTCCGAGCCATTATCCATTACACCACCAGCACATCCAAACTTACAGCACCTGGTATTTCCAAGTGGTCACCCATTTAGGTACTGACCAGGCTCGACATTACTTAACTTTGGTGATCATACAAGGAACCAGTGTTTCAACATGATATGGCTATAAGCCAATATTAAATCTATTGTAAACAGAATATAATGATTGTATTTTAATGACGCAGTGCATCAGTTTTTATCTTTTGTTTCATTCTTTGATGTTTGGTTGGCTGAAGCAAGTCTTATTGGCATCAGTTAAGTTTCATAATTACTTGCCAGCTTTTGGATTTATTCATTTTAAAATTTACTGGCATTCAAAGATAGAATTTTTTTTTTTTTAGGGCTTGCAAATCCTCTTTACTTTCTCCAAGAATTTTTATTTTGCAAAATTCTTAAATGCTATCTTTGATTTTATTTTATTTTTTATTTTTTTTAATTTTTTTTAAAGGCGACTTTTATTCTTTAGATAGGGGTCAATTTTCTTTCATTATCCCACTTAACAAAATGACTCTCTTTGTCTGAATGCAGTTAGAACATTATTACATTTGTAGAAAGAAGTATCCATTTTGTTTTATCAAGATTTGGCACACTCTAGCACAATAAGAACTTGGGCCAAATATATATGTATATTTTTGATCTATCATAAATACACACATACACATAGGAGTTTGGTTAAAGACCAACAAATGTTCTTTAAGGATTATTTATTTTTTCTACATTTCAGATCATTTTCTTGGTTTTTCAGTGCATATTTTGCTATAAAGTGTCAAATTGTAGAAAGTATATTTTTTAAGCTTATTGATAAATACTTCCCTTTTAGTAAATTCCATAAATTTCATATATGCACAATGAACTTGAGCTGTTGTTGCATGAACAATGTAATCTGGCTAATAAAAATATGAAGGCACTGTGCATGTTATATGAATCCAACTGCTTCTTGCAAATACAGAAATTGAGACAGCTGCCCTTTGGAGGGGAAATATATAACTTCTAATATAGTCTTCCAGGCAACTATAAAGATAAGAAGGGAACCAGATATCTTTTTATTGGTGTTTCTGAAGGCCTTGGAAACAGAGATAGTATATGTACAAAATTTCTTTGAGAAGGCAATATACTAATAGTATTACACTATATATTTTCCCTCTGAATTTCTGGGATAAGGTGCTATCATTATTTACATTAATAGTTACACTGCCCATGTCAAGGGATAGTGTATAGTTCTTATTTATGTTACAGCTCACTTATTGCTTGCTCATTTTCTTCTTAGTCCAAGTATACACTGCCCGACCCAGGGATGGAAAACACAACCACTATGTCAACAAATTCACCAACCAACACTTTAATCCATGAAGCCATTGTCCCATAGGATAATTTGCTGTAGTGAACTTGGGGCCTTAAAACTGACCTGGTTAATTTTGGTTTGTGAATTTTGTGACATAGTGGTTGTGAATTCAATCCCTGGCTCAGGTAGTGTGTACTTGGTCTCAGTGGAAACAGGCAAGAAATAACTGAGCTGTACTATAAATAAGAACTACAATATCCCTAGACATGGGCAGTGGAATGATAGCAATCTACCCTCGTAGATTAAATAAAGGGTTCAGTTCAAAATTCCCTGTAGAAAACCAGATCAATATACACTTGAGGAAGGCTGGAAGGCACAACAGTCAAAACATAGATGAGGACAATAGCCTGAATATAAATAGTGCAAATAATTACATCATGCGAGAGTAAGTAAAAAAGATTTATACTTTCACTGTAACATCTGTGTTATGAGTGCGCATAATTTTTGACTCGTATATATTTATGGATGTTGAAAGACAAAAGCAGGGGTAATCCAGAAATGGTAAGAAAAGGATTTTCATTTAAATCTGGATCTGGGAGGTGTGAATTTTGCCTTGGAGATAAGTTTTGAATGTTAGAATTTTCTCAACAGGACTGAATATTAAATAAAAAGTCATTCTGACTTTCCAAGTGTAGGTGTGATAAGTGGTTGCTCTCCTCCTAACTCACTGATCCCCAAATGGTGTGATGCACCTCATAGGTGCAGTGGAAGAGGATAGCAAGTGAGGCAGAATATTTGAAAGACAAAGATTTAGAAACATTTTCAAAGAATTTGTTCCAAAAATAAATATGATTTCAGAATTTAAAATATTATTATGGATTACTTGTAATTATATGCATGAGTTCCAGTTTAAATAGTTATAATTATTAACTGATTTTTTCATTGTGATATTTTTGCATTATATCCAGTATTAAGAATATAGTAACTAGGATCCACAAATTGGAGGAGAGAGTTATCAATGATAATGTTCTGTCTTCGAAGTCTCGCAGTTATCTACCATTGACACTCTCTCTCTTTCTCTCTCTCTCTCTGTTTTTTTTATTTTTAAATGTATTTTTTATCATTTAAAATTTGGTAAGGTGCAAGCAAATTTTAATTCTGAAAATGCGGTCCAGAGGAAAAAACAGTTTGGAAATCACTGTCTTAACTAAATGATCATGAACATATTTGTATGCCATGGAAATTCATCTCCAAAGTTTTACCATGTAACTTAAGATCACCTAAGTGTTGAACTGGTAGTTGCACTTACATTTCTTAATTAATTTTACTATTTTGCACACACACATTTACTATGAAAATACATTTTACAATAGACAGTCCTGAGTATGATGATAAACTACATCCAACAGCAAGGCCTCTGATCAAGAGGTTTTTATGAGCATCAAGCCATCTCTTACTTGCTGATGTTTCCAGGTCCACCCTGACCCAGGGTGGTAGCACCTGTTAGGGTTCCAGCTATGGGCAAATAGTTACACCCCACCCCAACAAACTGGGGGCAAAACACTATGAAAGTGTAAAAATAGGTTTTAATACCAGCAATACATTTTTTTAAAAAATTATTACCCATAATATGTTTTGAAAAAAAAAAAAAAATACTAGCAATAAAAAAAAAAAAAAAAAAATATCAGGAATATAAATCTTGTTGGCATTAAATAACCCATTGAGGTTGATATACCGTAAAACAAACCAAACCATTGACAATAGAAATGCATATTGAATATGTATGCAATATAGTTAAATTGGGTGGCTGTATGTATTATACTGAAATACAAGAATATTTCTTGGTTATATAGTAAATATAAGAGTTGTTCATTAAATGTATAAAGAAGTTTACAATTTTGTTTTCTTCCTTGTACATGATTTTTCTACAAATCATTTTTAATGCTCTCTTATTGTGTCATTTGGGAATATCATAAACAATTTGATTCAGTTAACAATTGTTTTTCTTTCAATTTTCTTAGTTTTAATACATTCAATGCCATGTCAGTCAGTCATGTGCTGTGTGTGATACTTGCTTAGGCGATCATGTATCTTTTGATACATGACTGACGAGGCAGATTTTTTTTTTTTCTGCAGTAGGTTGCCATTTTTTTTTTCTGCAGTAGGTTGCCATTTTTTTTTTCTGCAGTAGACCAGTTGCCATTCAATGCTACAGAATCCGGTCTGTCCTGCTATTTACCCATAGCAGGGGGTGGGGGAGAAGAGAAGGATACATACCCTTTCCAAAGGGTCAGTCAGTTATATGCCATGTGTGATACACACTTAGGTGATCATTTGATACATGACTGATGAGGCAGATCTTTTTTTCCTGCAGTAGGTAGCCATTTATTTCTGCAGTAGATCAGTTGCCATCCAAGGCTACAGAACCCGGACTGTCCTCCTATTTACCCATAGCTGGGTGGGGTGGAGAAGAGGATTCATACCTTTCCCAAATGTATTAGCACGTCAGTCAGTCAGTTATGTGCCATGCGTGATAAACACTTAGTTGATCATGTATCTTTCAATACATGACTAACGAGGCAGATTTTTTCCCACAGTAGGTTGCCATTTCTTTCTGCGGTACACCAATTGCCACCCATGGCGATAGAACCTGGTCTCTTCTGCTATTTAACCCATAGCTGGGGGAGAAGAGGATTCATACCTTTGTCAAAGGTATTAGCATGTAACTGGATGTAATGGATTTGACTGGAATTTGAACTTGGATCTCTGATTCCTCAATCTGAGCCGCTATCAATGCCATAACTAATTTCTTTTAATGAATGATTTTTTTTGATTTTTTTTATCCAAGTCTTTTCCCATTGCCACCCCTTTTTCTATAGACTTGTTGGTTATGTGTCTTAATAGGAAAAAGAAACGAGGGCGGTCTGATAAAAGTTCCTTTCCCAACAGGCATGCGAGTTCAAGAATGTTGCATGTTTGGTTAGAAGAGATTTTGATTAAGATATTTTCTCAGATTAGCTGAGTACAGCAAATGGAGTAAATGTTAGGGGAGGATAAAGATTGGTGTACCCAGTCTTTCAGGAAAAGATAACTTGCTAACCTTGAAAATCAGCATTTTTTAAATACTTAGGCTTGAACACCAGCTGTTGGTGTGTGTGCAATTATCTTACCTATCAAACAGACCCTAAAGTTATACTTGTTTTGTTTAGATTTTTGGCATAGTAGCATATTCCCTGTAAACTGGAAGTCATTACATTAGTAAGATTCTCCTGGTAACTGTTATTTTATGACAGACTCTCAAATTGCTTTAGCAAGAATAAATAAAATAGATAGCTTTTTTTTTTTCTTTCTTGATTATACAAATTGGAATTCTTTTCTATTTCACGCACAGGAAAATAATTTCAACTTAATTTCTTTTTCTTAAAAAACAAACAACCAAAAGAAAAAAAAAACAACTTTGTTTATATACATATATATATATATATATATATATATATATATATATATAAAATTTAATTTTCACGTTGCACATGACCTGCCCCATCAATTGAGAATGGTATTAATTTTTTTTTTCTTACACATTTTTTGAGACAGATTTATTGTTTTTTTGCTTTTCACTTGAAAAAGTAAGAAAAAAAAAAAAAAAAACATTAAAATAAATAAATGCGTTTCCACAATTTAAAATCAGTTCAGCAGTTTGCGCACACACACACACGATTCTAACCTTTCTCTTTCTACTATATAGGAAAAGTGTGTGTTGTCTGCTTAAGCAATTATTGCTTGATAAATACTTCCAGAAGTTCACCATGGGTTGCGAAGCAAACCCTTTACACATGAGTAGCTAAATAATAATAATAATAATAATATGGGGGTAAGATGGGGAGGGCAAGGCTGGGAATCCCTCACTCTCCAAAGAAAAAAAAGAAATTCTGATATTTAGTCATTTGATCAAATTTTGGGAAGTGGGTTGAGCAGATAACTTTTCAGCACCTCTTTTAATGTTTTTTTTGTTAACTGAATAGTCTCTGTGCTTGTAGAGTATAGAGGCCATCCAGATGTTTCCTATGAGAAAAAACACACACACACGATGATGACTGTCGACTTGTTAATCGTGTATGACTATTTCTAACACAGTCGCATAAAATAACTATTTCATTGACAATTTACTTTATTACGTAAACTTTGCAATAAATCATTTATGCCTGCCATGAAAATATATTTGATTAAAATTATATACACAATGAATAATGTACAAATTTAAATATGCTTCATGATTAAAAACAAATATTAAAAAAAAAAAAGTATAATATGTACAAGTGAATTGTTTATAATAAATGGTGTGATTTATAATGGCACTTCATTAATGCATACAAGAAGAATGGGTGGCGTTGCTTGAGCAGCAACCGTATATGAAAATCTTAAACACCAAAATTAAAGAGATCAATGCACATCGTTGTGCAATGTGGGGGGAAATTATCAAATAAATACAATATCAATCTACAAGTATGAGACACTCAGTGAGAATCAAACTCACTATTCAGTAGCATTGGTTAACAAGACTAGCACATCTGTTGAATTACCATGACATACATATATACAGGACAATGGCTGTTGACTTGTTAATCAAGTATGACTTATTCTAATACATTAACATACAATATCTATTAGATTAAAATCATATACAAAACCTATTACTGTGTACAAATTTAAGTATGATAGAAAATTAAAAATAAATATGAATTATCGTTATAGAGTAAAAGAAAATTGAATAAAATAAATTTATCTGAATTTCTGTGATGAAGGATTATCATTGTTTACATTATTTATATGCAGACTATTGTCCTCATCATTATCACCCGATTGCCTTCTGCCAGAATTTCTGGGATGAGGAGTTAGCATTATTTACACTATTTACATGCAGACTGTTATCTTCATCTTCATTGTTATTATCACAACATTTTGATCACTGTGACCTCTGGCCTTCATCAGGTGAATACCAATCCAGGTAACCTACAGGGAATTTTAGTTGGAAATTACTTGTACATTATCTGGATCACCATATACCTCATGAAGGCTGGAGGGCACAATGGCAAAAACGTGATAACAACAACAGTTTGCATGTAACTAATGTAAATGAAATTGGTGAAACATGTATAAGTAACCTATAAATTTTGTGTGATATACATTACCTCTAAAGCTCTCTAAGGGATTTATACCTTCTGTTAAAGATATCACAGTTCTTCATTTTGATTGCTTACTAGATTCTACATTGATATTCTAAGATTTCACATGTCTAATTTATTCAGACCTCTTCCTAAATACTTTTATTACAAATTGGACAGGATATATATATATATATATATATATAAATAAAACAATGATCTTTTTGCTGTCTGTCAACATGGCTGATGCTAACTTCCAGGAGAATGACTCTTTGCGGCTTCTTGGGCTGACATTTTCAGCTGACATGAATTGGAAAAAGCATATTGAATCAATTGCTGCTAGTAAAATTGGTTTACACTGTTCTAGACAATTTTTTTTTCCGCCAGAATCTATCTTGCATATCTGTAAATTTACCATTTGTCCATGCTTTGAATATTGCTTCCACAGTTTGGTACTCCTGCTATATATTTAGAGATTCTTATTAAAATTGAAAGAATCGGTAATATTGGTCCTGACCTGGCATCTCTACTTCAGTCACTTAATTTATATAAGACAATGACTTAACTCGAAACATCACTGTATATTGCTGACAAGGGTTCTCTTTTATAGAAAACAATTTTTTTTTTTTATTTTTTTTTTTTTAATACTAATGTTCACCCAGTACGAGGCCTGACTCTCGCTCAAGCTAGGGGCTTACTGTGTGGTGTTGTATGAGTGAAAGAAAAGTCAAGAGGTAAAGTTCATGGGGCTATGCAGGAAAGATAACGGTCAATGATGAAAACACAAGAGAATGAACAGACTTTAGAAGGAACTGGAAAGCCGATCCTAAGCAGGAATCAAGGGATATAAACTTCTGTTCCTTTTCAAAAGACTGGGAAGGAGTGTGAACTGGATGATAGGCAAACCTATCTATTCCTATTATGAGAGAGAGAGACTGAGAGAATTATTAGTGAATAAAATTTCAGAGTTCAGATGAAGACATTAAAAGTATGAATTTGAAGTAGACTTTAGAAGGAACTAGATCTTCGCATGTCAAGTCAAATGATTATACATATTCCAAATTTTGTTTATTGCTACTTGAAATTTTTTTAAAAATTTTTTTTAAGTATCCCAGATTTCTTGCATGTCTTGAAAATGATGCAGCTTATTCACCCTCACCTGGAATGTTTATAAAGTGAGCTGTTGAAAAAAAACTCGGATTTTCATTCTGCCTTTAACATTAGTAAAAAGAATTTCTCTCCCCCCCCACCTCTTTTTCTTTTTAATACTTTGTTTTATTTACTACTTTCTGTTTGAAATACTTAAGTGAGAGCAAAATTTATAATGGATTGTGCTTTACCAGAAGTCTTCAAAAGTTTTAGAAAAGAGTCTCATACTTGTCGTAATTGATTTGTTCTTCATCAATACATTCACCACTTGTTGGAAATAAGTAAAAAAAAAAAAAAAAAAAAATGCTTAGTTGCAGGGTCTTATTAGGTTTTCTCAAATTACTCTACTTATAAATTTAGCACTGAATATGGTTTCCTTCTTAGTCTTTTTGTTTATTTTTGGCAAAATGTATCTCATCATGCAAGTAATAAGATCCTGTTTAATTAAAAACTTAAAACTTGCTTTACTGAGTGATTATTTCAGGATTGAGACTTTATTTTTTTCATAGAAATCTTAAAACTGGTATATAAAATCTTGACTCTTACGTCTCTTTCCCATACAAGAGAATACTGAAAGTTCTCAGCCCAACCAAGGAGTCCTTCCCTGGAAGAAAGAAAAAAAAAAAAAACTGATATAAAATCAGGAAAAAAATAATCCACCTCATTTAATAACCGTCTACCTTGAATGGCTCTTGGGTCTTGTACTAAAGTAAAAAATAGTAAACACACACACACACACACACGTGTATATGTATATATTGGTATAATAGGAAAGAACAGTTAGATTAATGATCTAAAGTTCTTTTGTATTTTTGTTTTTTTTAAAAAACTGTTTGATACTGAAGCAGAGCTTAAATTATAATTATTTAAAAAAAAAAAATGATTCCATTGCGACAGAGAAATTATGTTTTGAAACTTGACTCAAGTCCTAAAGTTTAATTTCAATATTAAACATAAAATTTAGAGTGCAGTTTCATTCTCAAGTGATTTTTAGAATGTTATTCTAACTTGAGTCAAGTTTCAGAACAGTAATTTTTGTGTCATGATGGTATCATATTAAAATATATATATATATATATATATATATATATATATATATATATATATATATATATATATATAATTTCAAACATTACCATAATGGACACTCATATTTGAAATAGACGCTTTCTTATTTTTTAAACAATGTGTATTAAGCATATTGGCTTGGGCATGCGTGAAATCTTAAAGAAAATGTGTTCTCTGAGAGGGATCAAATCAGTATTTCTCTTTGTAGTGGAAACCAATGTTTGATCTGATATATTTTACTTACTGTCCTTGAAAAATGTCACAATTAAGCAACGCTATATCTTCCTTTTTTTAAGGAAAGCACATCCTCTTCAATCAAATTATTTTTCTTGAAAGCCCATATCTGGTCAGCTTCACATCCAGAATGTAAACAAAGCAATTTCTAAAGAATTAATGGAGTTATTTTTAATCAGACATTTTTATCACTTCAAACTTATTATAGTGGATACATTGTACTTGAAATAGCTGACTCATTTAATAACAAATAAAAATGGGCCATCTATTTCAAATATGAGTGTCCACTAAAATAACACAGTTGAAGTAATAAAAAATAAATCCATTCTTATATATATTTAATTTTTTACATAAATTGCTAAAACTTACCACCCATCACCTCGATATGCAAAACCCATTTACACCCTCTTTCTCTTTACTTCCCTCTCCCTCTTCTTTCTTTTTCCTTTTCTTTTCTCTCTTCTTCCTTCCCATTTCAATATATCACTTAACTGTTTAAATAGGTCAAGGTCTGGTCACTCCTCCTCCCACAATACTAAGTATGATTGAGAGAGATATTAAATAAAACCCTCCCTAAACTCTACCATGTCTCTCTAACTACGCCTATTACACTCTCTGTTAAATTACAAAAACTTACACTACCCATCAATTTTCGTTTCATTTTTTGTAGTGCTATCTGATGATCTGGAGTCCTTTAAAAGGGCTCTGGTGAAATAAATTCTTATAATGGAACCTTAAAAGTGGTCTGTTTTTCTTTTTTTTATTATATATATATATATATATATATATATATATATATATATAATAAAAATTTTTTTTTTTTTTTTTTTAAAGTTTATTGAATATTGCTTGAAAAGGGAACAATAATTTTGTCCCGAAACAGTGAAATTTCTATGTTGTAATGAAAAATATTTATTTAATTTATTTATATATATATATATATATATATATATATATATATATATATATTTTCAGTGAGTAATGCTCATTTCTCTGTTGCTCCATTGAAAGATACAGGCGTGTTTGAAAATTCTGAACTTAAAACTTTTCTTTCTGTGCTTCATTTTTATCAAATGGTTAATAATTAATATTTACTAAATGTTTATCGTACTGATTATATTGGTACCCTTACATTTGTCCTTGTTTTATTAATTAACCTATATATATATATATATATATATATATATATATATATATATATATATATATATACACACACACACATTGTACCCTGAGAAGAAAAAATAGATTTAAAAAAATGGCGTCATTGAGGAAACACCTTTTGGCTAACACCTTTTTCAAAAGGTGAATGTTAGCGAGCAGCAGGAAACAATCAAAGATACATTAGTAAATAATGAATGAGGAGGGAAAATTGGAACACGATTAAGCATTTACTGGACGATCCCGTTTGTGCTGCCAATTGAAGCATTTTTTTTCCATTTTACATAGTGCTCGCTTGGTTCACCATTTCATAGTCCTTGAGGCTGTTTATATTAAGATTCATCAGCTGAGCCTATGTAAACAAAAAGAAAATTTTATTTATTCCTTACGAATAATATAATCAAGGAATTATGAGTAACTTTCCCCCCTTTTTTTTTTTTTTTTTTTTTTTTTTAAAGCATTTCACCCCAAGCAAGGCGGGAAGCCACTAGGACGCAAGGGGTTACAGAAAATAGCAAGATCAGATAGGAGTGATAGAAGAAAGGATGAGGGTAGTGGATAGATTAAGGCAACTGGAGATGTTGATTGACATTACACTTGAATAGCTGGAGATTATAGCTCACAGGGAAACAGGAATAGGGAAGGGAGTTCCACAGGCGAGAGGTGCGAGACATGAAGCTATTAGAGTAGAAGAGACGGCTACATTTAGGAGTTTCGACAGTGAAGGGGTGAGAGCGAGATGCCAGCCTCGTAGGGCGCTGGAACTCATGACGTCTGGGAACCAGCGAATGCAGCTCCTCAGAGCAATTTCCATGGAAGTATTTGTAGAACAGACAGAGGGAGGCGATGGTGCATTTGTGAGAAAGTGACTGTAGATGAGACGCCAGGGCAGGGCCAACCATACTGCATATCCGCTTCTGGAGCCTATCAAGAACCCAGAGAGGCAAACAGAAGGGGCCAGACCATATGGCAGCAATACTCCATGCAAGGGCGGTGTGGATTTGTATATCTGGAGGATCGACTCAGGGAGAAAAAACTTCCTAAGCGGCTCAGGGAGCCAACTTTCCTCGCAGTGGATGAGGCAATTGACTCAATGTATTTATTCCATCTCAGGTCAGCAGTCAACGTGAGACCGAGAAGCCGCAGAAGAGTTGCTCTCGAAGTTGGCGTCAGTCATTCTAATGGAGGGAAGGAAGGCTCTCTGTGGTGATTAATAGAGAGCAGTTTTGTCTTGAGCGTTGAATTCATGTCCCTGTTCTGTCGATTGGAGGTCCTTTTCAGATGCACGGCAAGGTGAGTTTTGTCAGTGAGACTAGATTTGTTTTTGAGGCAGGAATAAATTGTGGTGTCATCCGCGTAGATGCCACCTTGGGAAGTTACGGCGTCAGAAAGGTCATTTATGTAGATAAGGAATAGAGTGGGGCCTAGGATGGAGCCTTGAGGAACACCTGCGTTCGTGGGATAGGAACTGGAGGAGAATCCGTTGAGAACGACCTCAATTCACGGTATACTCTTTTTGGAACTTTGTATTTCGTTTTTAGTCGTTAATTTATTTACAATTAAAATCTATTTTGTGTTCCAATTTTCTCTCCTCATTTGTTATTTACTAACGTATCTTTGTTTCCGGCTGCTTGCTAACATTCATCTTTTGAGAAAGTGTTGGCCAAAAGGGTCCCATCAAGATAAAATATTGTTGTCCATTCTATTTAATATATATATATATATATATATATATATATATATATATATATATATATATATATATATATATATATATATATATACATGCAGAGGGTTTGATAGATATTTTGTCTAAATTATACAAAAATTAAAATAACACTAACATCTCATTTTAAAAGATATAGATACCAAAATTACACAAAAATATCTTCAAATACTAAAGAGTAAATCTATTCAATAAAAATCACCATTGATTTCAACCACAGCCTCCAGATGACTTTAGAATCTCCTGCAACTCTTCTGGACAGTCTCCTTGTTTAAGTTGATGAATGCTGCCATAATCCTTGTCTTCAGTCCATTTTTGGCGATATAAGGAGTTTTGTTAGTCTTTTTCTCAAATGTGCCCCATACATTATAATCAAAGGGGGTTGCAGTCTGGGGAGTTGGGTGGCCAGATTTAAGGGGTGATACAGTTTCAGAAATTATCTTAGTCATGACTGGATTCTCCGACTTGTGTGGCATTGTGCAGAGTTCTATTGCCATACATAGGGTCTTTCAGCAGCCACCCTCTTGACCCTCCTCAAGGTACTTGATGTAGGCCTCTGTCTGAGGCCCCGTGGGAAGATGAATAGGCATAACGTCGCCATCATTAATATTGATGTTGATTGGAGATTTTATTTTGACTTTATTTTTAAATCCTTATAGTTTCTACAGATGATGACTGACATAATTTATGACTAAACCTTTACCAGCTGTGAAGATGAAAATCTCCAGGCTGATGCTCTTTTTGTTTAATCATTTGAAAATAATATTAATTAACTCTTATGATTCTTAAGTTATTTTTACCTGTCTGTATTGAAGGTGTCTGTGTTTAATTCAGTTATATGGAGAACAATCAATAAGTTTTTAGTATGTCATGGAGTTATCTGAATTTTGATCTGTCTAATTAATATTCACCAGTGACTTAAGTGCTTTGACAATAAGTCCGCAGCTTAATGATAAAAATGAGCATTTATTTTATGCAACAAATACTTTGTGTTATAATCTCCTTCCTTGTAAAGATGTATGTATGTGATTCAGAGCTGAATATTAACCATAGATTGAATGTTATAAATTGAACGTTTCAGGTCAAAATTCAATTAATAATTGTCAGGCAAAAGACTTCATGAGTTTTGCCCTTGAATGTTGAAAATAAATGTTTTTGTAAAATCAAAATGCTTTTTGCATCATAAAGCCATGGACTTGGTAATGTATAGAAGTGAAATATGCATTTTAAGTGGTATAAACTAAAGAAAAATTGAAAGAGTGTTCTTTATATATATATATATATATATATATATATATATAGGAGGGAAGAAATTGGAGAGATAAAAATCAATATTTCTTGTATATTATTGTTATAAGTCACTCCTTGTGGTTATGATATCATGTCATGCTTAGACTACTAACATTAGAATTCTTCTCGACTGACTCCAACATACTTCTGACTCACTTTAAATTCTTTATTTAAGGCATCTTTCCTTGTTCATTTGTGTTATTGGAGGTATCTTATTTACTCAGAACAATTATTAAGCCTATAGATCTAATAGAAGCATGATGAGAAAAGATGTTAAAAATAAAAATTTTCAGACATATGTGTCCTTTCTCAATAACAAATAAAATGAAGTTGTACTTTTTGAGGGAATTTTTTTTTTATTTCTTTGTTTTTTCTCCTTTCTCTTTCTTCTCCTTTCTCTTTCTTCTCCTTTCTCTTTCTTCTCCTTTCTCTTTCTTCTCCTTTCTCTTTCTTCTCCTTTCTCTTTCTTCTCCTTTCTCTTTCTTCTCCTTTCTCTTTCTTCTCCTTTCTCTTTCTTCTCCTTTCTCTTTCTTCTCCTTTCTCTTTCTTCTCCTTTCTCTTTCTTCTCCTTTCTCTTTCTTCTCCTTTCTCTTTCTTCTCCTTTCTTCTTTCCTCCCTTTCTCTTTCTTCTCCTTTCTCTTTCTTCTCCTTTCTCTTTCTTCTCCTTTCTCTTTCTTCTCCTTTCTCTTTCTTCTCCTTTTCTCTTTCTTCTTTTCTCTTTCTTCTCCTTTCTCTTTCTTTTCTTTCTCCTTTCTCTTTCTTCTCTTTCTTTTCTTCTCCTTTCTCTTTCTTCTCCTTTCTCTTTCTTCTCCTTTCTCTTTCTTCTCCTTTCTCTTTCTTCTCCTTTCTCTTTCTTCTCCTTTCTCTTTCTTCTCCTTTCTCTTTCTTCTCCTTTCTCTTTCTTCTCCTTTCGCACATGTTTTATATTACTAATGAAATCTACTACTTTTAGGCTTGTTGTTTGCCATGATTAGTTATAGAGGTTTTGTATATGGCTTTGTGGAAACTGCATTTTTTTTAATTTTTTTATTTTTTTTTTCATAAAAAGCCACCTACAAAGCCTCTACAACCCTAATTGTTGTAACTAATCCCAAACTACTAGATTTCATCGCTAATACATCCCCCCCCACCAAATTGCAACTTTATTTTATTTCTCATTGAACAAGGACACAAGCAAGTTTGAAAATTCAGTGTATAGTTTAGTGTATAAGGACAGTAGATCATTATTCAAACAAATATTGTTAAATATAACAGACAATGAATGTCTTGTTTGATCATGAGCCTTTCCAAGCGTCATTTAATGGCTTTAGTTTCAAGAGAGAAAACAGACAAAAACTGTCCAACACATTATAAGAAGCATATGTGGATGATCTTTCTTTACTGTTATATAGTTTGTATAAAATTAGAAACACAATAACCTTGTAAACAACAAAAGACAACAAATAAAAGCAACTGGGCCTAAGCTACCATAGAAAAGAAAGATAAAAAATAATTCATTAAAGAACCAACCTCAACTAAAGATACAAAAGCATTCATGTCATTGTACTTCAAGTTTTATACTATGAAGCAATCCTCAGACATTTTTAATTGGATTTGTCTGTATCTTCATCTTAGTCGTTATTGTCACAATGTATTGACCGTAATACCATCTGGCCTTGTTTCACTTTTTGTCATAGTGTGAAAATTTTCAATTGAATCTTGTCCCTGAGGATAGATTATTTTCATTCTGCTGTCTGTTAGAGGAAATCTTGTATTAGTTAATTCATTCTTGTAACATCTCATCATCTTTGTTGACTTTTGTACGTTATGATTCAAAGACTGAACTTATGTACTTTGATTTCTAGAGAGAGTTTACCAGCAGCAATAGACAACTGAAGAAGGTTCAAATGTGCAATGGCTGAAATGTTATAACATTCAAGGTGAGGATACTAGTCAATGGAGGAAAGTTTTTAATGTTTTTAAATTACAGCAAAGAAACTCCAGAAGTTTTCTGGGTTTATACATTTGTACTGTAATAAATATTTGATTTAACAAACGCAGTGAATGAGTTTTTTATTTTCATATTTCTGTTTGCATCATCCTCAAAATATTGCAAAAGCAAAGCAATTTCTCTAATTGTTTATAACAGTATATCCATATATATACTGTTATAAACAGTTGTATAGCATAGTCTTAAGATTGTATAGCATAGTCTTAAGATTGTATAGCATAGTCTTAAGATTGTATAGCATAGTCTTAAGATTGTATAGCATAGCATAGTCTTAGATTACTCCTGCAGAAAATAAAACCAATGCATTTGTAAAGTAACTTTTTGATGGTAAGGATTATATTAACTTTCTTTGGATATTTTGACTTTTTCATGATTTTAAAAAGCAGAAATCTTTTTTACATGATAATTGTATACAATTGCAATATTACTTAAATATGGCTGTCACCTTCTGATGGTCAGGATGGTGGTAACTTTTAATGGCTGCCAAAGAATTTTTTCATATGTACCGTTAATTGTATAAATAGAAATCCTAAATTAATTAGGCAGAAAATATACCAGTTGTTATTGCAAAATTATTTAATATTGCTGTCCTTTTTTGACTATTTAGAATTAAAATTGTTTTATTGCTTTGTCAAAATTATATATTTTTTTTATATTATTTTCAACAACCACTTCTCAATAACAGCAGTTAGTGTTATCCATTGGAGTATTATACCAAGTTTCCATTGATTGGCTAAAATTCTTAGGTGGGGGATTTATTAGAAAAATACTTATCTTTTATTGCTTCAGCTTCAGTTTTTTTTTTTTTTTTTTTTCAAAAAAGAAAGTTGCTTGTAACACTCAAGTTAAGACTTAAAAGCAATAATTTCCTTCTCTCTTCAAAAAGAAAAAAAAAGAAAGATTTCCTGATATCCTTAACTGACTCAGGGTTCTTCAGACAAATCTGCTGTTTGTTTTAATGAGTCGTGATAATAAAATTTTCTTAGTCTCAACTTTGTAAGTCAATTATTTGTAAACTGAAGCTCCTTCACTTCTCATTCTATAAAGTATACGACTTAAAGAACGACTTGCAGGGACTGGGAAATGGTTCTTTAATATCTACTGGTTGCCAATTTGCTATAAATATAATGGTATTCATGATATTACTCGGTCAGCATTCCTCCCCCTTTTCTTGGAAATGAGTAGAGGCTTACACCTTGTTTCTTGTTTAGGAAGGGGTTCCCGGTACTCTTTCTCTCTCTCTGTCCTCTGTATTAGTACAGCTCTGTTTCTCCGGTGATGTATCCCGCTCTCACCCCTTCACTGTTGAAACTCCTAAATGTCTCTTCTACTCTAATAGCTTCATCTCGCACCTCTTGCCTGTGGAACTCCCTTCCCTATTCCAGTTTCCCCGAGAGCTATAATCTCCAGCTATTCAACTGTAATGTCAATCGACATCTCCAGTTGCCTTGATCTATCCACTACCCTTCTCCTCATACCCTCTTCTATCACTCCTATCTGATCTCTCTCTATATTTTCTGTAACCCCTTGCATCCCAGTGGCTTCCTGTCTGGCTTGGGGTGAAATGCTTAAAAAAAAAAAAAATAGATTAGCTTTTCTTTTACCATAGCTCTGGATTTTTTGTTTTTGTTTTTGTGATTAACTTTAAAAGAGCATATGGCAGTTTGTTTTTGGATGGATATAATTTGCTTGACAATTTTTAAGCTCCAGTAGTGAAATTAAGCATATTTTCTGTCTGAATTTCTAAGATGACAAATTATCATTATTTACATTCAGACTAATGTCTTCATCTTTATCATTATCCCATTTCAACTGTTGTATAGTAGTAGTGGCAGTGTGTGTCAAGCTTCACAATTAAGGCTTCAGTAGCAATAACAGAGGAGGTAATAAGAACATTGTTTAAAGTTCCAAATTTTAGCTTCAGGAAGATTAAAATATTGGTTTGGGAATTTGGTTGGGTAGTAATTGTATGTTGAAATGGGATTAACAATAACCGAGCAAGATTTCAAAAAACTCAAAACACAAGATGTGATATGTCTAAACAGCAGAACAAGAACAATTTATGCTTGTCGATTAAATAAAGGGTTAATTTTTAAATTCTCTGAATGTTACTTCGATTGGCAGGTACCTTAAAAAGTTTAGAGAACACAATGGCTTAAAAAAAACTTATAACAAATTGAAGTCCTTACTTCAACTATAAATAATATATCATATAATAATAATAATACATTACATAATATGTAATAATGCAAATGAACAAATTGTATTTGGATAAATGAACTCTTTCTTTGTGTTCATGTTCACACAGTTTTGGCTGATCTGTTTCTGAGCTTTTGTTAGGTAGATAATATCAAAATATATAAGCTTGGAATTGTCATACTATGTCCACAAAGCTGACTTATATTTCCTCTCTGTTCCAACTGTAAACTGGAAGTTCCATTCAGAAAAGATTTTTCCCCAAAAACTGCTACTTTGTGGAGCAGATACTCTCACATAGATGCTTCCCTGAACATGACAATGTTAACATTTTCAAGTCAAGGGTCAATCATCTATCCTAACTTTTACCACTTTGTACATTCATATGACACACCTCATTCAGTCACCTCTACATTGATTTTTTTTTCTCCTAAAGTCCACTCAATATAAGGCTCAAGAGCCATTCAGAGTTAACAAGGCACTGTCATAAATAATTAAGGCTCGTTATAGGTGAGTTTGTATGTATGGCCGGCTTAATGGATTTAATGATTTATCAGGATAACTTTTTTTTTTTTTTTAAAAAGACTTTTTTCCCCAGGAGGAGATTAACAGGGAGAATAGCATTTTATGGAAAAATATTTTACTTCTGAAGGAGATTAAAGATGGAAACTGTTAAATATGACAAACTATTAATCATTGGCATTGTATTTTTAATTTAATATTTCACTTTCTTAAAAGTGAAAATAAATCTGATTGAGATTAACGGTTTTCTATCTTTTACTTCTCTCCTCCTTTAGTCTCTTTTCTTTTTCTCTCTCCCCATCCTTGGATCCCTTCCTCCAGATTGCACCCCCACTATCCCCTTTTCTCCCTACCCCGGATCCCTCCTGCCACCCCTCTCTCTTGTCCTGGGTACTTTTATTTTGCCCCTCACCTCCTCCTGTGCCGCCTTTTCCCTCTCTCTCTCATTTCTTCTCTCTTTCTTCTTCTTCTCTCTTTCTTCTTCTTCTCTCTTTCTTCTTCTTCTCTCTCTTCTTCTTCTTTCTTCTTCTTCTCTCTTTCTTCTTCTTCTCTCTTTCTTCTTCTTCTCTCTTTCTTCTTCTTCTCTCTTTCTTCTTCTTCTCTCTTTCTTCTTCTTCTCTCTTTCTTCTTCTTCTCTCTTTCTTCTTCTTCTCTCTTTCTTCTTCTTCTCTCTTTCTTCTTCTTCTCTCTTTCTTCTTCTTCTCTCTTTCTTCTTCTTCTCTCTTTCTTCTTCTTCTCTCTTTCTTCTTCTTCTCTCTTCCGCTTCTTCTTCTGTCCGTCTGTCTTCTCTTCTCTTCTCTGTCTGTCTGTCTTCTTCTCTGTCTCTTCTTCTTCTCTGTCTGTCTGTCTGTCTTCTCTGTCTGTCTGTCTGTCTGTCTTCTCTGTCTGTCTGTCTGTCTTCTCTGTCTGTCTGTCTGTCTTCTCTGTCTGTCTGTCTGTCTTCTCTGTCTGTCTGTCTGTCTGTCTGTCTGTCTTCTTCTTCTCTGTCTGTCTGTCTTCTCTGTCTTCTCTGTCTGTCTTCTTCTCTCTGTCTGTCTTCTTCTCTCTCTGTCTGTCTGTCCGTCTCTGTCTGTCTGTCTCTGTCTGTCTGTCTTCTCTGTCTGTCTCTGTCTGTCTTCTCTGTCTCTCTTCTCTGTCTGTCTGTCTTCTCTGTCTTCTCTGTCTGTCTGTCTGTCTTCTCTGTCTGTCTGTCTTCTTCTCTCTCTGTCTGTCTTCTCTCTCTCTGTCTGTCTTCTCTCTCTCTCTCTCTTCTCTCTGTCTGTCTTCTCCTCTCTCTGTCTGTCTTCTCCTCTCTCTGTCTGTCTTCTCCTCTCTCTGTCTTGTCTTCTCTGTCCGTCTGTCTTCTCTGTCCGTCTGTCTTCTCTGTCCGTCTGTCTTCTCTGTCTGTCTGTCTTCTCTGTCTGTCTGTCTTCTCTGTCTGTCTGTCTGTCTTCTCTGTCTGTCTTCTCTGTCTGTCTGTCTTCTCTGTCTGTCTGTCTTCTCTGTCTGTCTTCTCTGTCTGTCTGTCTTCTCTGTCTGTCTGTCTTCTCTGTCTGTCTGTCTTCTCTGTCTGTCTGTCTGTCTTCTCTGTCTGTCTTCTCTGTCTTCTCTCTGTCTGTCTGTCTTCTCTCTCTGTCTGTCTGTCTTCTCTCTCTGTCTGTCTGTCTTCTCTCTCTGTCTGTCTGTCTTCTCTCTCTGTCTGTCTTCTCTGTCTGTCTTTCTCTCTCTGTCTGTCTGTCTTCTCTCTCTCTGTCTGTCTTCTCTTCTCTCTCTTCTTCTCTCTCTGTCTGTCTCTGTCTCTCTCTCTCTCTGTCTGTCTGTCTTCTCTCTCTCTCTCTCTCTGTCTGTCTTTCTTCTCTCTCTCTCTGTCTGTCTTCCTTCTCTCTCTCTCTGTCTGTCTTCCTTCTCTCTCTCTCTGTCTGTCTTCTCTCTCTGTCTTCTTTTAGGAATTGAATCATACAAATGATATTCTGAATTAAGTGGAACATGTGGTACTGATTACAGAATCATCCTTTATTAAACCATTTGGCCTTCTTGTTCTCTCCTTGACTCCAATTTATTGATAGTTTTTAAGCTTTTCTGTCATGTAAGAAGGAATAAATGAGAAAAAAAGTGTTACTTGTTTTTTTTTGTTTTTTTTTCTCTCCATTCATTCTCCTTGTGTTTCTCATTTATGTTTCTTTTTTTTTCTTTTGACCTACACTGTTTCACTGACTTAACAGTTTCTTTGGAATTTTTTATATAATATATAGGTTGAGTTTGTTTGCTGAATATAGCCAAACCTTTTCATATAGTCTTCACATTTAGTGTGCACACATATTGGATAGTGTGAAATATCAATCCTTTATTATAGAAATGGGGGGATTTTTTTTTTTTTTTTTTTTTTTTTTTGAAAAGATTTTCCTTTAATTAAAAATTGAAATATATTAGCACAGATGACAGTTCTTAATGTGATTAATTTCTGATAAATGTTATTTCTTCTCTAGAGAAAAATTATTAACATTTACATGTCTGATCTTCCTTAGTGAAAATTACCAATGGTTTAAAATGATGAAAATGTTACCTTTTGGAAGTTTACAAGTTCAAAAAACATTGCAGTTAATCATTGTTTATGTATGAGAAAGTGTGAGTGAACAAGTGCAAATGAAACAAACAAAATTTTAAGAAATGCTATTTTCCTGATGAAATTAGGTGTGCAATTTAGAAAGTCAAATGGGCCATAGTTTGCTCAAGACTGGTATATACCAACAGGTAAATAAAAAGAAAAAACTTTTTTTTTTTTTCTTGTGTTATACTTAAATGTGAAGGAACTGTTTAATTTTAACTCTCCTGTATACCACTTGAATAATCCTAGTTATCGCAGTTTGACAAGGCAAAAGTGAACTTGCTGATGAGCTGCTATTATATTTGCTTTCATTTTTTAATGATCTGTGTGTATGTTTGATATTCCTTTAATGGTTTAAAGAAATACCTCAAATCTTTTTATTCAATTGCATCTAGTGATACAATAAATTCTGGCAGGGAAAATGCAATTGTCATCATAAAAGTGTCAACTGCATTAAAACATGGTAAGTGTAAGCAAAGGTGATTTCGGCTTTCCTTACCTCACATCTGCTGATGGGTTTTATTACTCCTTTCCTCTACCATGGCATTACTTTTTTTTCTGCACTAACAAATATTTCTAGTTGTAGGAAAAGAATTGTACAATGTTTTAAAAAAAAAATCAACCATTTGTTTTATCCAATATTGCCACTCAAATTGTCAGTTATACATTGAAATTAAAGCAAAGGAAATGAGGCAAATGTCTTTGGCAGATTATGGGGAGAAAGCGCCTCCTCTCTCTCAGAAGATTTTGTATTTACAAATGTCTTATTTATATATATATATATATATATATATATATATATATATATATATAATATATAGTTCACATTGAGATAAACACTTTTGGCAACAGTTATTCAGGCCATGTGTGTTGTTTTGGCTTGACTATATATGCTGGTCAATCGTGTGTTATGGGTAGGTCTATTAAACATAGTAAACAAATTAAGTAAATAATAAAGAAATTAACAAACTAGGGATGGACATATAAGTAAACGTAACAACATCAAATAAAGTAATAAATAATAATGAGTAAAATAGTTAAACAAACAACCCTATGAAATAGCTACAAAACAGCATTCAGACCACAATTATTTCTAGTCAATAGCCCCTAGAATAATTTAAAACATAACCGTTATTGCCCACGCAAATAACCATTAGAATAATAGACCTACCCATAATGCACCACTGTTCAGCATATACAGATAAGGAAAACAGCATCAGCCAATAAAAATAAATCCAAGGACTGTAAAGTCTGTCTGGAAGAGAAAATAGCTATAATTACTTTCCCAGACTAACACAAATTACTAAATAAATGATCAGAACTCATTTCAAAATGCAGACATAAAAACAAATTTTTACTACATCACTTAAAAATTGAAAACTAAAAATGAACAAAAATAAGTAATAAATAAATATAAAAAAGTAAAATAAATTAAACCAAATCAATAAGTAAACATTAAGTAAATAATAAAGAAATTAACAAACTCAGAATGCACACATAAACACTAACAAGAATAATTTCTAGTCAATAGCCCCTAGAATAATTTAGAGCATAACTATTGCCCAATAACTATTAGAGTAATACAATAGACCTACCCATAATGGATCATTGACCAACATATATAGTTTTATGCTAATAGTTTCTTCTATCACACTTCTCACTTGTGGAACTGGCTTTTTGTTTCCCAGTCTATTTTGATCTTCAAAAAATTCAATGCAGTGTCAATCGTTATCATCTGCCTTCTCAATTCCTGTTCTTTTGTTTTCTCACCTTAATAGTTTTTTTTCTCCTCATTCTCTAACACTTAGTAGCCCTTTGCGTCTTAATGACTTTATTGCCTTGCTTGAAGGGAAATGATTAAGAAAATAAAACAAAAAATTATTAGTATTAGTCGTAATGTTCTGCTTTGTTCCCACATGGAGAAGAGCCCACCCCAAAATTATTATTATTATTATATTTCCTCTTAGTTGAACTGAGAACTTTTCAATATCCACTTGTACATTTATGGACTAGCTATTTACATAATCCATCACGGGTATCATTTAATAATAGGTGTTCAAACTTTCATTCTTCCTTCATGCTTTAGTACAATAAAACAGCAAATTCATCTTGAAAATGTGTATTGGCATCAATTTATTGTCTTTAATCTGTTAACCAACTAAAATTAAAATTTACCCCTCTCTTTTATTGATTTAAAACTTAGATCTCAGATTGAGATAGCAGGATATCAAAGTGCTCATTTCCTTTCTTTATGTAGGGATTATATATATATATATATATATATATATATATATATATATATATATATATATATATATATGAAATATTTTACACATATGTATGTGAATAAAAACAAAAGGAAAACTTAGTTGATGTATTTCATTCTTTCAGGGACTTTATCAAGGCAAAATGCAAAGATTTTATTTTGTAACAAGTAACCTCATGTTATTTAAAATATGTAACTCGCAAATTACTTTCGAACTAAAATAATTTAAATATGAATTTGCATAAAAAAATATTTCAAAAACATCACTTATTCATTTTCATTTATTAGGCATTGAATTGTGTCACTTTGTGTCCTCCATAGATTGCTTGACTTTTCAGCTAACCTGATGAATATTTGAGTGCTTCTCAATTTAAAAATTTTGCAAAACCAATAACATTTTCACTCTTGTATATAAATACTTGTTGCATCAACTCCTTGCATTTACCTTGATAAAGTCCTTCAGAGGACAAAATACATTGGTTAAGGTAAGTTTTCCTTTTGTCTTTTATTCATTTGTTCTTTTACATACTTCAAATTTTATAGTGGATACTTGAAGTAATAAAAAACTTGGATTGAAAATAAATCCATTCTGTAAATATATGTGTTTGTGTGCATACTCACACTGAGGTCAGCACCCAGTGGTGACACTCTGTTTCATGTTTAAATGCAATCTTCAAGCCATATATATATATATATATATATATATATATATATATATATATATGTTTGGTTGAATAATCTGGATATATTATGTCTATTTTTATTTTAATCCTCTCAAGTTCACAGAGCAATCTTTTAATGTTGTTATTAAATTCATGAAGGAAGGCACCATAGATTTTTTTTTTTTTTTTTTTTTTTTTTTTTTTTTTATTTTCTCAAGTACTTTCCATCTCGTCTATGATCATCTTCAAGGGTGAATTGCTAAGACAAAAAATGTAATTGATAGTTGTGAATTTTTTGTAAATGTGCATGAAATGTGCACTCTTATAATTATGAACTTGTATGAATGTGCTCTGTTATTGTCAATTTGAATTTAACTTAAGGATATTATGTTATCTAAGGGAGATAACTTATTGTAATTAAAAAAAAAATACAATTTGAGTATTTTGAAACATTGCTGCTATACTCATAATTAACCTTAGTGTTGGTTGTATTTTTCTTAGAGAGCTTCAAAAATTTGAAGTTTTTGTTCTTTATTTTCATGGTGGAGTATACTTGCATTGCCAATTAATATTTCTGTAAAACATGGACAGGAATGTCCCTTTAAATGTTGGGCTATGAAACTTGAATCTGCCATGTGTAATGTAAGCCTTCTTGGTAATGTTATCATGAAACCAACATATATATTTACTTTTTTGTCAAAGATATACAGTCTCCCAAAGGACATTTAAATTGATATATAATGTTGGTCTTTTGCAAAGCATTAGTTGACAGAAAAGAATTATTGCAAATGATTAAATTGTTTGTATTAGTATATTTAGTATATAATTAGTTTTATATTTTTACTGGGATCAGTGGGGGATATATTAGTACTTATGAGTTTTTAGGACTTTTCATCTTGTTTGTAGTTAGTGTATTTGATTGTGGTATAGTAGGTTGATATGTTTATGGTTATTTGAGGATGTATTATGTTTTTTTTTTTTTTTTTTTTTTGATTTATGCTAATATTTCTAATAGCTTGTCTAATTTGTTCATCAACAATGTAATTAGGAAAGACATTATTAATGAGTTTGTTTTAATGTTTTTAATTTGGTGTAGAAAATGTTTTTGTGGAAGAGTTAACTTTTGTGCGGTTCATTAAATTTTGTATAATAGCTGTTTTGCGCCAAACATGCTTGAATGAAGACATGCTGCCTTGATTTGGTAAGAGAAAGATCAGAGGAAGAAATGTATCCCCCCCCCACACACACACACACATACAAAAAAAAAGTTTGCCAAGTAAAAAGAAAAGTGTTTTGTTACTATTTAAGTTTGAATATTGTTGAAACAGATTACCAAGATTTAGTATTGCTTCATTTTCAGGACTGTTTTTTTGTTTTTCTCTCTCTCTCTCTCTCACAATGACTTGGCCAATGACTTTCTCTTTCTCTCTCTC